AGTTAGAATTTTGTTCTACATTTTTCTCCAGCTCTGTCCGGGACCCTCTGTTGTGATCCTGGTCAGAGCAGTCAGTGGTGGTAGCCAGGCACCATCTAATTGTACTGGACTCAGTCTAGTGGAGGCCGTGGTAGTTGTGGTCCATTAGTCCTTTGGACTAATCTTTCACTTGTATCTTGTTTTCTTCATTCTCTATTGCTCCTGAAGGGGTGAGACCAGTAGAGTATCTTAGATGGCTGCTCACAGGCTTTTAAGACCCCAGATGCTACTCACCAAGGTAGACTGTGGAACATTTTCTTTATAAACTGTGTTATGCCAATTGAGTTAAATGTTCCCTGAGACCATGGGGGCGTTTTTCTTTTGTCTGAAGAATTCTCTTTAGGATTTCCTTTAGTGACTCTCTTCTAGTGACACATTCTTTTCAGTTTTTGTTTTTCTAAAAATGTCTGTTTTATATTCATGTTTAGAAGCTATTTTTACTGGGTATGTTGTTGTGGTTGGATGCTATCAAGTCATTTCTGAGTCATAGCAACCCTCTAGGGCAGAGTGGAACTGCCCCATAGGGTTTCCTAAGCTGAAATCTTTATGAGAGCAGATCACCAGGTCTTTTCTCCCACGAAGTGGCTGGTGGGTTCGAACAGCCAACCTTTCAGTTAGCAACCTAGCTCTTAACCATTGTGCCGCCAGGGTTCCCTTCACTGGATATAGAGTTCTAGATTACCAGTAATTTTCTTTCAACACTTTGGAAATATAATTCTGTTGTCTCTGGCTGCCATCGAGAAGTTAGGTGTTCATCTTATTGCTGCTCCTTGGAAGCAATTTGTTTTTCTCCCAGTTCCCCTCCTCACCCACTCCCAGTTGCTTTTAAGATTTTCTCATTGTCTTTGGTTATCAGAAGTTGGACTATAATATGCCAACTTCTGTATTTATCATGATTGTGCTTTCTAGTGCTTCTTGAATCCATGACTTAATGTTTTTCGTCTGTTGTAGAAAATTTTCAGCCATTATCTCTTAAAATACTGCTTCTGCCCCATTCTCTCTTGGTCCTTTCCTTTTGAGACTCCAGTTACATGTCAGTTAGAGTAAATCTATGTGTCTTTCATGCTCTTTTCTGTATTTTTCCATCATACTGTCCTTCCTTGCTTCAGTCTGGCTATTTGCTTTTGACTGATCTTCAAGTTTATTAATTCTCTCTTTTGTGTCTAATACATATGAAAACCATCCATTGAGTTCTTAATTTCATTATTGTGTATTTCAGTTCTAGATTTTTCATTTGATCTTATTTTACAGCTTCCTGTTCTCTGCTGAAACTGTGATTTTGGTCTTTTTGATTCCTTGAAAATATGATTTTTTTTTCTTTTAAGTCCTTATGAGATACTTCTATTATCTAGATTCTGGTGGATCTGTTTCTGTTATCCATTGTTTTTTCTTGACTTTTGGTTATGTATTATCTCCTTATGTACCTGTATGTTTGTTTGTTTTTTTAATTTTTTTATAGAAAAATCAAACATATACAGGTGAAGATATATCTATCATATATATTTAATATATATATTTTATATACATATAAATATATATACTTATGTATATATTTTTAATTCCCTTGTGTACACTGCCCAGCTTCAACAATTATCAATACATAGCCAGTCTTCGTTTATCTAAACTGTCACCCACGTTTTTTTCTCCTCCCATTGGATCATTTTAAAGTAAATTCAAAACATTTCATCCATAAAAATGTATCTTTTTAGTATGTATTTCTAAAAGCGTATGCGTTTTTTTCCTCTTTCCTCATAAAAACAAAGACAGTTCCTTAATAGCAGCATATATCCAATTAGTATTTAAGTTTACCCAGTTCCTTAACTCTGCTTGGTTATTTTTTATTGACATTGTGTATGAAAAATTATAGAGATGAAGTGAGTTACATTTGCTTCTGGCATACTGTTAGGTTAAGTGCACTAGCAATTCCAGGACACTTTAATCCAGTTGTGGTTACTCTATTTCTGGTTCACCCTGACTCTGAGGATATTGTTAGGTGCCGTCGAGTTGGTTCTGACTCATAGCAACCCCACGCACAACAGAATGAAACCAAAGCCTAGCATATTTTACATGGTTCCTCCTTATTGGCAGACCTCAAACTCCAGTTTTCCCCTCCTCCCTATAAGGCTGTCAGTATCACTGTTGAGCTTTTGAGCCTAATAGCCACTGCTTTTGACAATCGGCAGTCATTTCATGGGGAAAAGTGACCCTTGCAAATGCCTTGTTTACCTTTATAGGCTTTTCTCCTCTTAACAGATCGTGGCTTTACGGTTCCTCCCTACCTCAGTAACTTTCTGATGCTTTCAAACAAAGATTTTTATACTTTGTCCAGCTTTTCTGTTCATTCTCAGTGTGGGAGGGGGGTTGGTCCTGACTACCTAGTCTACCATTACCATGCTAATTCTTAAAATATTGTTTAACTTATTAAGCACTCATAGTGTATTAGGCTTACATGTGAGAGTAAAGAAATGAATGGTCTGGTCATTTTTGTTTCAACTTGACCTTGAGTCTTTTAGGATTCTATAACACAATGTATATATGTTACATTCCAGGTATAAAAATTAGCACAGTTGTAGTCCGGACACCCTATCTTCTCAAGCAAGGAGAAGGTCTTACTTTATGACTTATAACAATAGAATTAAATCCTCTTGAGTTAAATAAAAGCAAGACAAAAATTAAATTAATTTTGAAAACAGTCAGTGTGGTTAGAAAGAAGGAAGGAAAAGGAGAGAAAAGAAAAGAAAAAGAAGAATGATGAAACAAGATTCTCTGACTATCTGGCCAAAACCATGCTGTCACATGTCAGAGAGTCATGCCAGATTGAAGTCAAAGAGATATTTACACCTGAATGTGTGACAAACGCGAGTCCCTGGTTGGTGCAAACTGCTAACCAAAAGTTGGCAGTTTGAGTCCACCCAGAGGTGCCTGGTGATCTACTTCCCTAAAATCAGCCATTGGAAACCCTATGGAGCACAGTTCTATTCTGACACACATGGGGTCACCATGAGTTGCAATCAACTCAAGGGCAAGTGATTTGGTTTCTTTATATGACAAATACACTGATTTATTTTATTTTGCAAACACTTGTATAGTGCTTACTTGGTGCTAGATACTGTTCTAAGCACTTACAACTATTAACTCATTTAATCTGCAGAGCAAAATTATTAACAAAGAATTTATTATTAGTTCCATTTTTTGATGGGAAAACTGAGAGAAAGGATAAGTAAGCTGCTGAAGCTCACACAGCTAGTAAGTGGTAGAGCAGCCAGGATTTAGCCTAGCCAGTTTGGCTCCGTAGTGTAATCACCATGCTATGTTGTTTGTAATAGAGGCAGGGGAGAATCAAGTTTTTGTAAGATTTATTTTTCCTAATTCTCAGAAGATACATATGCAAAATGGCATCAACATTCCATTTATTGTGTTACTCGGAACTTTTCTACGCGGTTGAAAAGATGGCCTCTGTACGTTTTGGTAGCATACGTAGCTAATGTAAATGCTCTGGAGTTAAATGAAAATACACAGCTTTTTTTGTCTTACTCTTTGTCATCCTCCTTAGCTCTCCCTGCCATTTAAGTTTATTGCGGCCTCCTGACAGGAAGTATTTGGGATGAAATCTTGAGAACTGAACCCATGGTTCCTCAACACTGAGCCCTCTGTTTGCCACATTTGCCCTGGTCATAGGTTAAAACCAGGCACTGGGTGGCATTCGTGTGTAACATAAATAAACTTCACACCATTGTTCAGGAAGGAGTGAGTGAGCTTTCCTACTCAAGTCATCCCTCACTCTTGTCATTCTCCTTCCATTTTGGTGGCATTCATATCAGCTCAAGAAGTCAAGATTAGAATGTCTCAATTTCAAAATATCAATACAAAATTGTGCTGTGGTGTTTTACAAGACTATCACTTTGCATTGGGCAAATCTGCTGCAAAAGACCTCTTTAAAGTGTTGAAACCAAAGATGTCACCTTGAAGACTGAGGTACACCTGACCCAAGCCACGGTGTTTTCAGTCACCTCATATGCGTGTGAAAGCTGGACAGTGACTAAGGAAGACCAAAGAAGAATTGACGCCTTTGAACTGTGGTATTGGCAAAGAATATTGAATACACCATGGACTACCAGAAGAATGAACACATGTGTCTTAAAAGAAGTACAACCAAATTCTCCTTAGAAGCAAGGATGGTGAGACTACATCTCACATACTTTGGACCTGTTATCAGGAGGGATCAGTCCCTGGAGAAGGACATCATGCTTGGTAAAGTAAAGGGTCAGCGAAAAAGAAGAAGACCCTCAAGGAGATGGATTGACAGAATGGCTGCAACAGTGGGCTCAAGCATAACAAAGATTGTGAGGATGACGCAGGACCAGGCAGTGCTTTGTTCTGTTGTACGTAGAGTAGCTGTGAGTTGGAACTGACTCGGAAGCACTTAACAACAACAACAACATCTCAGAGAAAGGGAATTAACGTTTATTAACTTACCATGTGCTAAATATTATATTCGGTGATTTATCTAATGCATTCCTAATCTATTCCTCACAACAACCTTACTTCTGTTTTATAGATGACAGACCTGAAGCACAGAGAAGTTAAGCAACTTGCCTACGGTCACAAACTCTGGTCTTTCTGACTCCAAAACCAGTGCTTTTTTATTACTCTTCCTGCTTTCCCTCCCAGGGAAATAATTGTTTCACTAGCTCGTGTTGCCTAGCAAGGGTCATTTCAGTTATCCTTATAAATCTTACATGGACCTCCTCCAAATCATCTTCACATGTGCTAAGTGTAAGCTTTTATTAAATGAACAACTCTAATTGTTTCCTTTTCTCAGGGGCTACGCCATTGCCAGCAGCAGTGACGACCGCATGAATGAGCCTCCAACCTCCCTTGGGCTTGTGCCTCACCAGGTTAGTGATTTGGAAAATGAAATAACAGTTCTGGACCTGATCCCACTGGTGCAGGAGGAAGTATTTGGGGTCACTTTTACCATCCCACCAGACCCCCAGCTAACCAAACCCACCGCCATCGAGCTGATTCTGACTCGTAGCAACCACATAGGGTTTCCAAGGCTCCAAATCTCTACGGAAGCAGACTGCCACATCTTTCTCCCTCGGCCCATCAGCCCAGCCCACCTCATATCCACCCTACTTATCTTCCAGTTTCCCTGGCTTTCTAGTAGGAGAGCTTTATGACCACCCGGAAGAGATCCCATTCTGAGGGACGGTACAAGAAGAAATCATGAACAAGCAGCATTATCTAGAGTCTTTGATGTTTTGCATGTTGACTTTGTTGTTAGCTACCAAAGAGCTGTCCCCAACTTATGGTGACCCCATGTACAATAGGATCAGACCATTGTTATTCATAGGGTCTTCGCTGGCTGATTTTCAGAAGTAGATCACCAGGCCTTTATTCCTAGTTTGTCTTAGTCTGAAATTGCCACTGAAACCTGTTCAGCATCATAGCAACATGCAATCCTGCACTGACAGACAGGTGTTGGTGGCTGTGCATGAGATGAGGTGCATTGGCTGGGAATTGAACTCAGGTCTTCCACATGGAAGGTGAGAATTGTACCACTGAACCACCACTGTCCTTAGCATGTTGACTAGAGGCCTCATAATGAAGTAGAAAAAGAAAAAGCAGACTTTAGAATCAGCAGACAATGGTTTCAAGCCCCAGCCCTGCAGTTATTAGGATGGTCTTCCTTGGCCGTGTTACTTAACTTCTCTGAGCCTTCATTTTCTTATGTATAAAGTAGAGACAATATTAGCTACCTCACTCGGTAGTTGTAGAGATTAGAGATGATATATGGAAAGGGCTTAGCCTGGAATCTCTACTCTAACCCTCTCACCCTAAGCAGCACATAATAGACCTTGTGTTAGGTTACTTCACCACCCCACCCCCCGCCCCGAGCCTCAGTTTCCCTGTTAGTAAAAACCAAAAAACCACACTGGTTGCCATCAAATTGATTCTGACTCATGGCAACCACATGTGCGCAGAGTACAACTACTCTCTAGGGTTTTCAAGACTGATCTTTCAGAAGCAGGTTGCCAGGCCTTCCTTCCGAGGCACATTTGGGTAGGTTCGAACTGCCAACCTTTTGCTTAGTAGTCAAGCACTTAACTATTTGTGTCACCCAGGGATTCCTCAATACTAGTATAAGCGGATGCTTTATTTACCTTGTGTCCAGTAGTATGTCTGTGATGCAGCTCTGTATACCGTAAAACACTATGCAAATCTGGCTTTCCCACCCTGCCTTACACAAGGTGGCATTGGTGTGACATGAATGTGTTAATCTTCTCTAGAGAAACAGTTCAAGTAGGACCCAGCAGACACTGTAATGGCCATCTATTCTAAGGAAGCTGACCTCCAAAGCTGACCTCTGCTATTTATGCTCTCACATCTCATTTGAATCCCTGCCCTCTTCCCTTTTTCACACGTATCCTTCCCTCTGCCTTGAGGTGTGCCCTCATCTCCATTTCAGATTTGAGCCTGAAAAGGGCCTTAATTAAATTTTCAGTCATGCCCCGGCACTGGTTTCCGTCTTTAAGTCCTTTATGTTAAATTACCGCAGCTGTAGTTTTCTCTGTGCTGAGGCCAGAGGGCAAAACAGTCCCTTTATAGAAGGTGTCCAGTGTCAAAATGCATGTGCCTGTGTTTTTCAAGTACTATGGCAACTAAATCCCTCTCCGTGTTCTTTATCCCTATTGAGCCTCCCAATTGTTTGTCGTTCACCAGCTCTTCTAGTCCTTTCTCCTCATTTTCAAATGTCTGAAGGATTATTTTGGTTGTTGGCCATCTCTTCATCTGGCCTTTTCAAAGACCGAAGAATAACGCGGCCATATATGGGAGAAGCCCCAGTGTGTGTGTGATTACTTGCTTACTTTATTTCAAGTTTCAAGCCTTTATTTTTAGCTACACTCTAAAAAAGAAAGTGTGCGAAGAGCTTTAAAAATTAATCAGAGTTGTGTGGTCCCCATTTATAGGCTTTTAAACTTTTTTTTTTGAAGTGGAACGAGTCCATTTATGCAACTGTGTTTTGATTAGGGGAACATCGTTTCCACAAAAACACTGGGCTGTGTTGCAGTGCCCTGCTGCAGACTCAGCACTTCCCTCCTCCTCTTCCTGGCTCTCTGAGACAAATGATTTCCTGTTGGAAAGGAACTTGATCAACTTCTTTGCGGGCTTTGTATAGAAGAATGGCCAGTGAAGTCCTCCGGGCTTATTTGTCTCAGTTCCCCAGAGGAGAGTGTTTATTAATTAGCCTCTGTGGAATGAGATGTCTTAGAAAAGCGATAGCCCTTGGACTGAGAGCCGCAGAGGCCCCAGTGGAGACTCCTTGTGTAATATGGAGAAAGTTGCCTAACTTAGCTTGTGCTCCCTGGGCTTGTGCTCTCCTTCGTGTCAGCCCTGGGACGCCTGAGGATTACTTTGTTGATCTCCCTCTTGGACCACAGGCAGAAGTTGGCCCATCCAGAGACTGGCCAAGTGCATAAAAAGGCTTGATGAAGCCCTGAAATTCAGCCTGGGGAAAAAAAAAAAAAAAAAAAAAAACCTCTTACTGAATTTGAAACCCATGAAAAACCATTTAAGGTGAGAAAATACTCTTACTGGGATTTTTTTTTTTTTTTTTAAATCTCTGGTCCATTTGTACATGGAGTGGATTCTGTAAGCAGGCAGCAATAGGTACAAGCTACTTTCTGGTGGAGCAGTGGTTAAGCACTCTGCTGCTAACCAAAAGGTCAGCAGTTTGAACCCACCAGCCGCTCCGTGGGAGAAAGATGTAGCAGTCTGTTTCTATAAAGATTAATCCCATTGCCATTGAGTGGATTCCAACTCCTAGTGACCCTATAGGACAGAGTAGAACTGCCCCATAGGGTTTCCAAGGCTGTAAATCTTTACAGAAGCAGACTGCCACATCTTGCTCCCGTGGAGCGGCTGGTGGGTTCAAACCACTGACCTTTTGGTCAGCAGCCAAACGCTTTAATCACTGTGCCACCAGGCCTCCTTGAGAATTCCTATAGGACAGTTCTACTCTGCCCTATAAGTTTGCTATGAGTCAGAATTGACTCCACAGCAATGGATTCGGTTTGGTTACTTTCTGTCTATAAAGAGAGTGATTTTAAAAAATATTCAATGTAGAGAATACATATAGATAACTACACAAATCACTAGGTGGACAACTTGATGAATTATCACACAACTAACACACTCATGTGCCCAGCACATAGATCAAAATAAACTGTTACCAGGCATCCCTGAAGCTCCTCTCATGCCTCTCCCAATTATTATTGCCTCCTTCGTATACAGACATAAGCTATCTCTTGACTTTCAACACCATGGGAGACTTTCATCTGATTTTGAATGTTCGGTAAGTGAAGCTATATAGAATAAAGGAGGGTCTCGTTTCTTTGGTAGAGGGCACTTTCTCATTGTAGATCTTAGCAATGTTATCTTTTCCTGACTGCTGGGGTGAGGGCTGAGTTCTGTGAGGCCAGGCCTTTTCTCTAGTTCGTTGGTGGAGGCACAGCTCAGGCTGGTGAGAGGTCCTGAATATGACAGGAATTAGTGTCCTGTGACCTGCTGGACATCCCTCAGAGAATGATAAAGACAAGGTGATGATACAGCAGTTGTTTGAACCCCAAGGTCATTGAGATAGCAGTCCTGCTTTCATTCCAGTTGTGGACCCAGCAGTTTACTTTTTTCTTTTTTTTTTGGCATCTTTGAGTGAATGCGCTCTTGGTTCCAAAGTACTGATGAATAAAGACCCTGGATGTGTATGCCCTTCCTAGCTAGGGGTTTGGACTTGCCGACAGCTTGGTTCTCTCTGGCCCTTGGGTTCTTTCTGTTAGTTACTTTCAGAAAAGTAAAACAAAGTCATACGAGGGCAGGACTCTGGTTGGGACCTGGCCTGGGAGATCTGTGAGACAGATGCTAAGGCAGAGCTGGATTCTACAGCCATGCCCTGTCTGTGCCGGCTGTGCCCCACAATCTTCAGGCCTTTAGCTTTTAATAAAGTCCCTTTATTGTGATCAGAAATGCTTATCTCAGTGTGCTCCTAGGATATGTAGTGACTGACTGCTAAGTAGAGAGGTTAAGAAAATAAGCAACAACAGTGTATTTCCTGAGATGTAGGTCAGGAAAAAGAATCTCCTTCCGTCTCCGGTTCTATACCCTTCAGGTTGATGGCACTGGCAATGGCAGAAAAAAAATGGGCAGGCCGATGTTTTATCATATCAGCTGTTGTGGTCCGTGGTCTGCTCTTCCTCCTTCCCTCCATCCATCCAGTCACTCACTGAACAGATAATTCCAGACAGTGACCCTGTGCAAGGCACTGTTACTGAGGTTCAGAGAGGTTACGTAACCAGCACAAGGTCACCTGGTATCTAGTGTCAGTTGCTTTTGGAGTCATCTAAGGTGGTAGATGTAGCCCAAGCCATTTGGATGTGATGGCATCTTGTTCTAATGGGGAGGCCCTTGAACAGAAGGAGGGTCTTGTACAAGATCTGGCAGTGGCTGGGTTTCTTAGGTGAGAAAAGAGAGGATTTCCCTTTTCCTAGTACACAAAAGAGGGGATAAATTGTAGATAATATCAGAGTTCAAGACCGCTTCAGAGAGCAGCTCTTGTCCCAAGAGGACTTGGGCACAACTTTATCAGTTGAAGGATATTCCTTGTGCCCCACAAGTTTTGCTCACCTGATGAGGTTGTCCTGTTTGGGAGGTCCCATGTGGAAGGCGGCCTGAGGCTTTGTGATCATACAGATCTGATTAGAATCCCAGTTTGGCCTCGTAATTTCACATTCATCCATTCATTCCTTACCTCATTTTACAGAACGACTTGAGGTAGCTCTTGCTACTTATCACTGTGTGACCTTGAGCAGGTTACTTAACCTGTCTGAACCTCACGTTC